CCTTCGACCTATGTACTACGAGGTTTAATCTACAATAAAGAAGACAAGAGAGTTCCAGATCTGTGAGAGTTCTTGCTGATTTACTGTCCCGCTGACGAGAGACAACGGCCCCGCACCTTTGGTATTGAGTAACGGGTGCCATGCGGCGAGCGTGTGCTCTTCCGAGCATTCCCCGCCAAGACAAGTCCGTCCACCGTTTTTCCTGCATTCCACAACACTCAAGCTGATAGTTCATATCCCTCTGTAACCGCGCAGTTCCGCACGGAAAACCCTTCGTTACAACCGAATGACTAGTAATTTAACAGGATCGCAGATTAAACGGTTGAAAACTACAGCATATATTACGTTACTAACAAATGACGACATTTGAAAGCTTTTTAAGCGTCCCTTGCTTAATTCTGCATCACATGCGATTCAGGAAAATGGCCCGGAATCAGCTTTTGCTTTAAGAAACTGTTATACTGATACTTGGTTTGCTCTTAAGTTGCACTAAGTAACCACTGATATAGATCGAGATTGATGTTGCCTTTAGCCGACGCAGGAAGCCTTAACCCTTCTCCTCAGTTGCTAACATAAAGGAACAAGATGACAAATAAAATCAGCTCTAACACTCAAAACGTCAGCTTTTCATATGTACGGCGGCTGTCATAACTAGCATAAGTTAAAGTGTACAGTTTTCTGTGGACAGTTTTCTGTTGATGAGCTTTGGCATATTTTTTCAGTTGTTCAAAACATTTACTGAATTTACATTCTTTTATTATATTTTGAATTACATGAATTGAAAAGGATATCTTTTCCCCATTTTTTTATGATAACAGAACTCATGCATATAAACGGAGCTTGGGACTTTTGGTTTTATAATTTCTTTTCTGCATTTTCTTTTTTTCGTTTATTTCAGGAAGCTCTGGGCAAAAAGTTGGCTTCATGGCGGAGTGAAAATGAAAGGCTAACACGAGAATCCTGCACCAGTCTCCTAAAACAGCTCAGGAAGGAACACCTAGACCCAATCCTTGCTCAGCTACATGGAAAGGGAGGTGCCAAAGTAGTGTTCGAAGACATTGTAGCTGGATACAACAGATTTGAACACGACTACAAAGCTCGTGCTACCGGCGCTAAAGATGTTTGTGCTGCTGTGTTCTTTGAATTTCATCAGGTAAATGAAGCTTTTACATTTATAACAAGATGATAAAGAATAAGAGAGTTTATCTCCCATATAGGCCTTATTTCCCAAGGTAATCCTTCCAAGTTATTTCACGTCCACACTACGCCGGAGGATTTTGAAAACGGAGGTTTCACTCTGAAAACCCATCAAATGCTTTCCTTCCACACTACGCAGGAGGAATTTGACAACGCAACAATCAGCGGTGATTTTAAATTTGTATTTGAGGAAAACTCGGGCAGGCAAATCAAATGATTATCGTGATGCCATCGTTTTCGAAAAGCTCCGTTTTCAAAATGTTCTCCGTCCACATTAAAACGCAAAGCCGGCGTTTTCAAATTCCTCCGGTTTGAAGAGCGTTTACGAAAAGCTCCGTTTTCTCCATGTACGTATTTTGAACGAGCTTGTACAGCTCTTAGACGTGACGTGTCTAAATAAAGTATTGTATTGTGTTCTTGAATATTGTGACGGATTAGTGTGGATGGTAGGCCTAACCGTAGAAATAAAGCTGCGTTTTCGTGACGGATTAGTGTGGACGGTAGGCCTAACCGTA